TCCCCATTCATGTAAAGTTTGTATGGACTGTGTAATGTGTATCCTTAAAAGTCCTGGACACAGCTGCAGCTTCCAAACAACAATTTCCGTAATCTTAGTATCATTTCAGAGTGATTCACACATGCAGCTAATGTCCACAAAGGCAATCCCTTGCAACCACTCTTCCTCCTGCCTAGTTTGGGGAGCTCTTGAAGAAAAAATGATTACAGTATATGAAAGTGCCACTATGGTGTTCGCCCTTGTGGCCTCTGCTTGTCTTTCCCTCATGGCACGTTTTCCTCTCGCTGCCAACAGTGAATTACCTCAATCCACAATATAAATGACATTTGTCTGAACACTTGTGAACAGAAACAGAACTTATTTATTGAAGTGAAGCAGATTGAATAATAACAGAGGTTTCTCAGATAAACATTATACACAAGCAAATCATCAACAGTTCTCTCAGTACATACTTCTTTTTTCTTGCTATATCACCACGTTCTCTACCTATTTTCATAACCAGCTTTATCTCTCTCAGTATCTGTTCCCTCCCTCTCTGACTAACCAGCCCTATCTCACTCCTCCTTCTCCCGCCAAACCTCATATAGCTGCTGACTCCGCCTCTTCAGTCCTCTCATAGGATTATGCAAATCAGTCCATGAATATGAATGGTATGCATGACATGGGCGATCGTCACATTCCTTCCCCCTAAGAAAAAGTTTGTTTCATGAGGAAAAACCTTACAGTTTCCCCTTATGACCAACGGAACATACAGGGAACATTACATACAAAACACCACCATAATAATATGCTTACCAGTTATGTCCTAAATCACATACCATATTTTAACATATAATACATTATATTTACCATATATTTATACATACATTATACTAGTTTTCTCTCTATTACCATGTTTACTAGATCAAACTTATTACTTTAAACATTCAAAACAATCAATACAACTATAAACATTTGCACTACTCACATTAATACAGATTACATTACCTTTACATTAATAACACTACTCACTATTATTATTTCCCATCACTATCCACCTCTCAGTTCATCAGCATTCAATGAGACATTTTATTTTAATTGCATTTCATAACTAGGGCACAATTAGAACATCTAATACTACATTACACTCTTCTATCCATCCATTAGTCATTTGGCCTTCAATACCAAATGTCAGCAAACATATTCTGAGTCCTTTTTATGCTGCAGATCTCAAAGTCGAAGTCTTGCAGGTTCAGTATCCATCTTGCAAGCTTACTGTTAGCGTCTTTCATAGTTTGTAGCCACACCAGAGGGAAATGGTCAGGGAAGTTCCACCTGGCATATCTGTAAATAACATCTGATACCTTTGCACTAGCACATTTCCCCACTCTGGGTCTTCTTGAACCCTATCAGGAGACACTTGTAACTCTTCTCCCCACCCCAGTACATCCTAGCATCTAGCCAACACATCTACCACCCTTTCCTGCAGTTCTTTACTGGCTGCACATAAGAATCTTACCCCATCTGGTAGATTTCTGAGGCCGTTTAGTTGGGATTTTAACTGCTTCACCCCAACCCTTGGGCAAGGTCTCACTGTGCTGCGTGGGCATCCACGTGGAGGCATCATTTTCTTAGACTCTCAACTGCACCTCTTCCCCCTCCTTCCACTCTTGCTCTGGGGTACAGGACTCCTCTAGGCTGCAAATCATTAAAGGATTAGCAGAGGTGGGACAAGGAAGGAAAGGCAGGGTAAAGCTGTGGGCTGGAATGTGACTTGCATCATAACTAGCATGAACGGTGAATTCCAAACAAATCTGCAGCCACTGTATGAGCACTTATTGCAATTTCAGACTGAATACAGGCTGTGAATCAAGTCACAGGCAACTCCAGTATAATCGAATTGCAGCAAAGCTGAATCATTCTGATTCAGCTCTCCAATGTATTTAGACCAGACCTGGGCAAAGTGCGGCCCAAGGGCCCCATACGAGTTGGGCAAAGTGCGGCCCAAGGGCCCCATACAGCCCACGAGTCGCTCCTGTCCGGCCCGCTGGACATCAAAACCATTTATAGCTTTTTGTTTAAAGTTGATCAGTTGCTTATCTTTAACATACAAAAACCTCTTTAGTATTTGTGAAGATTAACAAGTTTAAAATAAAAACAATCATAACATCACTCTTTCATTTTATTTTTAAGTAAAGTTGGTTCGGCCCCCCCGAATACAGTTCAGATTTTTCATGTGGCCCCCTATAGAAATTAATTGCCCACCCCTGATTTAGATCTTTACTCAGCATTCATTGCATAAAGAGAGTCAGTGGACAAAACAAGCCAGCATTATACCACTGAGTATATGCTGAGATGTACAGTGGTGCCCCGCTAGATGACGACCTCACAAAATGATGAATCCTCATGACGATGAGGTTTTGCGATCACTATAGTGATTCGCAAAGCAGTGTTTCCAATGGGCGATTTTCACTGGACTATGTTTGGGTCCGTGCCTCACAAACCGTTTCTCGCAAGATAACGATTTTGGCACTGATCGGCGCTTCATAAAATGGGTGTTTTTGAGACCGATGCTTCGCAGGACAGCCATTTTAAGAGCTAATTGGCGCTTTACAAAATGGCTTCCCTATGGGCAATCTTCGTGAAATAACAATTTTTCCCCATTGGACTGCATTAAATGGGTTTCAATGCATTCCAGTGGGGAAACGGTTTTCGCAAGACAATGTTTTCACAAGACAGCGATTTCTATGGAACGGATTATTATTGTCATGCGGGGGTACCACTGTACTACACTTAGGATTTGTGGTGGTTTTATATGTTTTTGTTTAACATGTTATCTTGTGCAAGAGTGGGAATAAATCCAGATTTCTAGAACCTTGGTGGATTTTTTATTTTTTGGAGAATAGAAATCTTGATTTCTTGAAGAAAATGGTTTTTTTAACATTAGAAAAAAAGGCTGCTATGCTCAGCCTTATCTGGAGTTATATAGAGAAGCTGCAAATGGAAGGATTGCCATTAAGCTGTTAATTTTGGTTTGTGCAATAAAGTTCAACTTCAGCAATGTCGATTCTTGTCTGTGACAACCCCTTGCATTGCAGACTATGTCCTCCAGAGGGCTCTGTGAGAAATAAACAGCATTTGGTAGTTTGAGAAAAGCAATCTATACAGAAAAGCAATCACATTGAATATACTTCTGAAACAGTGAGTTTGAAGTACTTTAGACAGTTAGAATGTGCTATAAGAAGGCTCAACAGTAGTGATATGTTGGTATGACAGACTGTGCTGCAATTTACAGCAAATTATTTTATGAAAGTTGGGAACAAGATGCTGGAATACAAAAGCATTGTACAGAGAATGAATCAGCAAATGCAGTCTCTAGTTTACTGCAGCTGAAACCAGACATGAGGCAGGTTAAGGATGTGCTTAACAATTTCCTCTCAAGCTGTTTGTTTGGATCGACATTGCTCCCAGCAGTGTTCCTTGTCCACTGGTTAAAAGTAAGCAGGGTGAAGTAAGTAAGCAGGAAGAAACATGGGTTGGAGGAGAGGGCAAAGTGGATCAGAAAATTTGCCTGCAGGGAATTATATTACCACCTGTGCACACAGAATGTGAAAAACAGACATGTTAGGTTACCCAGAAGGCTTCTCTGTTCTGTTCACACAATGACCAATAAGCTGCCTAGGAGAAGCTTGCCAGATTAGTGCCAGCTACTCCATGTTGCGTACCACAGCACTTGATGACATACAAAGGCAAATCGCTTCAGATAACGGAGGTAAAATATAGAGCCAGCCATCTTGATGTGTGAGCTGAACACTCATTGTTCTAACCTCCACAAATGTATCTAATACCCTTTTAAACCCATCTAACTTAGCAGCCACTTTTACATCCTGTGGCAGTGAATTTCAGGGTTTTTAAAATTGTGCTCCAAGATGATAGGAGTACCTCTTTTCACCTGTCCCAAATTCTAGTACTTGGAGAAAATGTGGTGGAAGTCTCCCTATCTTTTTTCTCCACTCCATCCTTTACATCAAAGTTTATTGAACAACTACCCTGTATTTTTCTGGACATCCACAGAAGACCTCCTATTTCTCCCAGACATTTTAAGCTGAGGCCATCCCTCAGTATAAGGCATTGCCCAGTTTTGATTGAACCACACCACACTTCTTGGCTACACTTTAAGAATAAAAGGAGAGGCAAAACCCTCTCTCTGAAGAGCTTGGAATCAATAGGGTCTTTGCTGGAAGTGGAATCTTACCCCCATGCCAGATGCAGCTTTGATTTCCCCCACAGATCTATGAAGATACCAATTTGTTTTCCATAGTTTTAGTGCCAATAACTCTTTTTTTCAATTAGTAACGATTGCACAACTATTTTCAAACTGTAACTTCAAAGGTTTTGGCATTTCTTTTAAAAAAAAGACATAGAAATCTGTCAGAATGATGGAGCATTACCATCTGGAAAAGTAATCACGATGATTTCCTGAATGTCTATACCCCCTCCCTCACTCCACATTGCAAAAACATCTCTTAAAAAAGATGAAACAGGATGGCTAACTACATGCAGGGAAACTCTTCTAAAAATGCTGGACTTTCTGCTGCTTGAGAAAACAACTGCAAAAGAATTGCAGGAATAAAACACAGGAGGAAAGCACCAAATGTATTGCTGACATCATGAAAATGCCTGAGTAAACAAACTAGGATAGCTCCACAGTAAATTCCTTTGCATCCAAACTCCTCAGGTGACCCAGACAGAAAACTGCTTTAAGAAGCAGAGGTTCCTGAAATTGAAGTAAAAGAATTTTGTACATGGCGTGAATAAATGATTTCTTTTCCTTTGTTGCAGCTTATGGGTCAGTCTAGTATTGTATAGAAAACCAGGTTATTGTTCGACATCTGAGCTGACATGCTGTTTCTGAACAACTAATTTACCATGTCGCTCTAAAATAAATGAATAACCAGTAGATGGATGTACTCTACAGCTATTCCCCACAGAAAAGAAATAAGGCGGCCAAAAAATGACTCTCTGGTTTCCATATTTAATGACTATCTGCCCTAGTTTCACTCCCCTCATTTGTGTGAAACAGTCTTCCCACATCATAAATACATACAGAGAATGATCACAACATCAGTATGTGGTGTTTTTTTCTTCTTCACATTTTGCTGTACCCAGGCAGTGTGGGGTGGCGGGGGGGAGGGGAGAGTTATTGTTTCTAACACCATCTTCAAAACTGAGCTGCTCCTGCTGCTGTCTCTGAAAAGAGATGGTTTTTCAGGGGCCCACCGAGAAAGCTTTCAGGGCAGTTTCTCCCTGTGTCCACAACCAGCATCAATGCTTGCTTCGTGGGGGTGGAGGAAACTGTCAGCCTCTCCTTCCTTCCCGGCATGACTTCCTGAGGTTTCTAAAATAGATGTTGTCTCCTGTCAGCAAGAGCAAAACCAGGTGCATCCCAAGGAAACAACACAGCCTCTGAGGGAAATTTGTCATGAACAACGTGGAGGACTGGAGCCAAGAACCACCTTCGTTTTCCTGTGGGATATTTTTGGTTCTTTACACAAGCCAGACCTGTGACATGGTCTTCACTTCAGATGGCAAGCTGAAAGAGAAGAGGAGTGTATCTCATTGTGAAATCCAGCAGGGAAATTGTCAGCAGTCCTCCCTTCCTGGCAAGTGTTGCGGAAGCTTCTCTGAATTATTAATATGTTATTACCACTGGAAAGCAGCCCAAGAATTATGCTCTGACAGCCTGTGCTTGTGCTTGCTGCAGGATTATAATAGATGGGAGAGAGGAAGTGAGGGGGGCTAGCGAAAGCATCCAAATGTTGAGACAAGCCTCTCTGTATGGACCATGGCTTTTTTTTAAAATGAAAAACTACAAAGGTGCCAGCAGAGGGCACCAAAGAGTCAAAGGGATAAGGTGGTCCACTGCCCAAAAATGGGACCTGGCCGGCATGGATGGAGGAAGGGCTTTGTTTAAATAAAACAATGCTGGATTTGGAAAGGAACACGAAAGAGAGATGATATTCCTTTAGGGAAGATAACCACCAGAGGGCAGAGTGGTGTATTCCTATTGACCGAGGTGGACCAGCCTGCAAGCAGGAGGGCTGGGCAGAGCTCTGTGTGGCTGCTGGGGAGGAGCTGCCTCCATGCCTACACACACCCTTGCATTAGTTAGCCCCTCCCCTCCTGTCCTGCAGGGGCAAAAGACCAAACTAAACCAAGATGAAGTGAGAACCCCAGCTTCTCCGTCTCTTTGCCTGATGGTTGCTGGGAGCTCCTACAAGGGCAGACACAACAGGCAGTGATTTCCTCCACTGGCTGCAAAGCTTGGGATCCTAACTCTGTGAATCATCATATCCTCATATCCATCATATCCACTCTGACCTCACCCAGGCATGGTGAGGCCCTTGGCATACTGAAATTCCCACAGTGGGTGACTAACTCTTTGTCAGGCAGTATCTCTGATCTGTAAGGCTTGGCATTCTCTGCTCATAACCAGAGGGCACTGCAAGATAGATTTGCCAGATAGATTGGGCAGTGAAGGAACAAGATGGGGTGGATGCAGCAGTCTGGAGCAACATGGGGAAGTCTCTGAACAGCGCAGAAAATTATTTTCTCTTTAAATGTTATTTAAATTTCATGTCAATGGACATATAATGAAAAACTAGTACAGTAGTACCTCAGTTTACAAAAGCAATCCGTCATCCGGGACTTTACATGATGTGGAAATTACGTAAACCAGAACGCAGATTGCTGTAGTAATGGGGGCAGCACTAGAAACCTCCAGGCACAATGCGTCCTTTTTGTACAGCGACCTCCCCCATTAAAAAAAAAACCATAAACTGAGGCATTGGTTTCTTATGGATTTCGGCTCGTAAACTGAAAATTACGTAAACCGAGGTACTATTGTAAAATGTTTTTTTAAAGGACATAACACTCATATGTTTAAAAAATCAATAATGATTGATAAAAACCATGGAAGTTCCTACTACCGTACTTATTTGAAGTCAAGGCTACAGCTGAGGGGGAGGCAGGAATACTGCTTTCCTTGTTGAATAGAGGCAATTGTAGTGGGGCACCACCTTCCCTATGGACTCCTCCAAGAAAGGACTGCAGATGCAGAGAGGTACAGCCACTGTTGTTGCTGGCAATGGCAGACCACTCTGAGGGCCTGTCAGAGATGGTTCTGTCTCCAGTGCTCTTCCTTTTCCTTGTTTGCTATGAGACTGATTTATTATTATTATTATTATTATTATTATTATTATTATTATTATTATTATTATTATTATTATTATTATTATTATAGGTTAATTCTGCCTCATGGCAATCCTTTCCAGGGTTTTCTAGTTATAGAGTAATGAAAAGTGGTTTACCAGTCCCTTCTTCGGCAGCATTCTGGGACTTGTGCAGCTTGCCCAAGGCTATACAGGTACCAAGGTACATCTCTATCAGGAGGTCCAGTGGTAGTCAAAGCCCCCCAAGCCCTGGTCCTCAACCTCACGGAGCCACTGTGGCTCAATGGAAGGGGAATATATTTAAAAGTTGAAAAGGCAGCAAAAAGCCCCGCCACCCAGCAGCTGTTGTTCGGCCTGCTTTGTTGCAGAAGAGGCCATTGCGCTTTTCCCGGGATTTCCCCAGCCCCTCAGGGGCTCATCACTGCTCACCATCACTGTCAACAGGCCTGCCCTCCATTTTCAGAAAACATGGGGGGGGGAAGCGGCTCTTTCACGCTAGGAAAGAAGGGTGGGTGCCTCACCGGCTGTGCTGGCTGAGGCTTTCTGGGAACGGTGAAGTCAAGAAAAGTAACGTTTCGCATCACTGCCCACTGACTGGTCCACCTAGGATAGTAGCAATGTCAGCCCTCCCCCTAGACAACAGGATTAATAGAAAACGACCTAATATGTATTCCTTATCTTGCTTTTGTTGCCCAAGCCCATTCTAGGGACTGGAGAGGAGCCTCCCTCGTCAAGCCCCTCCGAGAGAGCCCACGGGCGGGAAATCCCACTGGCCTCGTTTCTCCTCCCTCGTTCCTGCCCCCAAACTGTCCATTCTCAGCCATCAGAATTAACAGAGCACATTAATTCCACATCCCTCGTTTTTGAGAACGAACTTAAGGGCCCATTCCCCCCCCCCTTTTTTTCCTCCGCTGAGGGAAGAGTTGTTTCGCCCCTTTCCCTTTGGGGCGTTCATCTTGTCCCGATGACTCAGTCGCGCAGAGCCACGGCCAAGGGGCAACGCGTATTTCGGGCGGAAGGAGAGACCGCCGGCCGCGGCTCGGAAAACCATCCACCGGGGCTTTCTTTGCAGCCCGACTAAACAAAAACAACAAAAAAATCCCGTCCTCGGCCACCAGGGGGCTCCGGGACCACAATACCTAGCAAATGCGTGAGCCAGCAGACAATGGGACGGCGGCCGCCAGCGCCGGCGCCACGATAGTAATGCGTGGCTTCCCTTCTCATGCTCGCCTCGCCTTCCACGATGCTTTGGAGACGAGGGCAGCGCTATCGGGGCAAAAGAAGCAAAATCCGAATTTCTCAGAAGGCAACTGAATTGCACTGTAAACACATCGTCGCCCCGAACACAGACACTACGGTGTCAGATATGCCCGGTATTTCCTCAGCTGTATTTACGGGGCATCCAGCTGTCCCCCTGGGACCAAATTATTAATCATGCATGGCTTCGGCCATGCAGCTGTTTCAGCTGTGGAAATTGCCGTTGTTGTGCAAGAGCCGTCGTGCTTTTATTACACAACCGCAGCCCTTTAGTCGCGTGGCCCTTGTGTTTTTTTTTTCCCGGGTGGACGTTCGGTCTATTCCCCGGCGACCGGCTCTTCCCTCCAGCAGGAAAGGCTTTAATTTTATTTTTTTCCCTTTATTCTCAAGAGTATTTCCAAACGATTTCCCCAGCTGTGCTTCGTTAAGGGCTTCTCTGTCGCAAGCCTGAAACTACTTCAGCTTCGTGATTAAAGAGAAAAGGCAAGTCATAACAGTGTTTGTCTTAAAGGCAAAGCTGCACAACCGGCTTTGATTTCAAGTTTCAGATGGAAGAGCTTTACAACTCAGGCGGCCGTAATCGAATGCAATGGTAGCCTGCAGGGCCAAGACAGTTTATTTCTACAACTGGGCAGGAGCCAGGAGGACTCTGCTCTGGGGAAAAAAAAAGTGAGCCCAGGAGTTTTCTTTAGCTCTGTAGTGTCCAGAAAGAAGGTTCATCTGACCACAAACAGAGTGTCTCCTATAGCTGGGTTTTAAGGGCAAGGCCTTCAGGAGAGAAAGCAGTTTTCATAATTCCCAGCATTTTAACAAAACAACTAGGGTGCTTTTATTTGCTGCAACCAGTGGTGTTGCTCAGGCAGATGATTAATTCTGGCTCGGAGGTATAGTCTTCCCTGCCTGCCACCACATTTATCCTCTGCGGTTGCAACTACTGTGGTTTGCTTCCTTCCAGTTGACCACCATTCTGCCTCTCCTTGGAAGCGGGTGGTGTGTTTCTCTTTAATAAGGCAAGGCTCCCCCTTTAATTCAGAAGGCCAGGGCTGAGCCAGTCTCATCTTTCAGCAACCTGTTGCCCTCCTGAAGAGCAAAGGAAAAGTCATTCTGTGAGTACCTTGCCTATGGGGACACTGATGCAAAAGCACACCTGTATGGGGGCTGGCCTCCTGTCAGGGGCTGCATCATACTCTTGTATTCTCCAGTACAGGAAGCTAATGTCGGTGGATACAAGTTTGCCCTAATGCGCCCTGAGATGGGCAGACGTTATGGTTTAGGAGCTGCCATAGACTGCACCATTTCCAAAGCAAACCAAACCACAAAGCCAGAAGTGGCTGAAAGGGTATTTCCAGTTGTGTAAAGATAGCCCGATGCCCTTAAACAAGGGCTGCATTTTGGTTTAAGGGGGAAAGCACTGCTTCACCAGGCTCCCAGGAAAATAAGCTCTGTTTTTTAAATGGGGGGGGGTTATACATTAAGCAATGGTGCTAGTGAGGGGGGAGGCAGCTTCCATCCAGGCAGAAACCCCTGCATTGTCCGCTCTGATGTATACAGTAGCTTTTAAAATTGGAGTTGTTTGTTAGTTCCCAGCTCTTCCGTGATTCCATTTCAGGAAATGTTTCTTCGCAAAGCAGCAGCAAAACAGAATTAATTTAAAACAGATTTTCCAGATTTCCATAAGCAGCACTAGATTAGCCAATGTGCTAAATCAAGATTCCCAGCTCTCAACTAAAAAGAGATGTTTCAGAATCTGAGCGATGAGAGAAAATTTTCAGGCACATAACTGACCAATCATGTTGTGAGAAAAGGGCCCACTATCCCCTCTTGTATGTATTTGGTTAGCAAAAGAAGTCACAGCCATGACTGGCCTTGGCTATTAGTGCTGGTGACAGGGGTGGAGTGCATTGAGTAATTAGTAGAAGGGAACTCTCGGATCATTCGGACACCCCACCCTGTTCTTCTGTTTAAACCTTTTGGAATAGGCAACAACTGAGAAATCCAGGATTTTAATAGATTGCCGCTATTTTGACTGGACATTAGCATGACTATATTTCTCAGACTTTTCAAAGAGCACTATGACTAGACAAATGAAGCCTACTGAACTGGGGTGGGCTTGAGGGTGTTCAGTGTTGCCTGCGTATAGGTTTCATTGTTCATGCATTTTTAAAAATTGCCCTCAAATGACAACCTGAGCCCTTTAGGGTCCCTCTAGCAACATTTTCTTCCCCCAGCCTGGCTCATACATAGGGAAGAGGACTTAAAATTCAAAGTCACTCTCTGGTCCCTTCCAGTTTTGAAATCCCCACCCTCATCTGCCTTCTGCAGTTCTGGAAAGGACCCTCCCCCAGGATGCCCAGTTGTGCCTTCTAATATTTTTACAAGGTGTGGGGAGGGGCAGAGGGTTCAGGTGGGGCAGCCGGTTGCCCTGGAAGGGGGCATAGTTGATGGGCCACATCTTGCCTACTGTGGGAATTGCTTTGCTTATAAAATAGGGGGATTTGAAGTATTTTTTTTAACTCACTACGTCATTGGTCCCCAACCTTGGGCCTCCAGATGTTCTTTGACTACAACTCCCAGAAGCCTTCACCACCACTTCTGCTGGCCAGGATTTCTGGGAGTTGAAGTCCAAGAACATCTGGAGGCCCAAGGTTGGGGACCACTGCACTACGTGACACAAAAGGCTAATTCGAATCGGTCCAGTCCTTTTTGCTGCCAAGGTGGCTTTCCTCCCTTCCACTGATGGGCTTCTACTTTTTAAAAACTGGAATACTTTATACTTTCCCCCTTGTGGTTAATTATGACATGTTTATGTAAAGATGGGAGAAGGAAGATTGTCTGTAAATGGTGTTTGGTCAAGATAGGCAACTGAGGCATGATGTTCAGGATTGATGGAATGCCCCGCATTCTTTCTTCTCCCCCAATCACCCTCTGATCTTTTATTTTAAAAAAAATTCATGTACAAAATTAGAGCTAGATTACCCTATCACCTCATTGCTGGGTCCTTATTATTATTATTTTTTCCCACATTTACACCCCATAAAAGATTGCAAAGGTGGGACTAGAGAAAGAAGGAAGGATCTGCAGAGTTGGGACAAGAGGAAAGAAGGGGAGCTGTGGGCCGATTGCATCACATCTGGTATGAATGGTGAACGCCGGAATCAGTCTGTAGCCCCTGTGTGAGCACTGACCGCAATTTCAAGTGCAATACAGGTGGCACATCCAATTTCCAGGTAGTTGCACCCTCAGACAAGTACATGCCTTTGAGAAATACAGAGTTACACATTTAAGGAGAATGGCAACTGTATTTTGTATGGATTCTCTGTAAGATATCAATTACTGAGTCATGGTAATTTCCTAATGCATGCTCAGAAGGAGAATTTATGAAGCTAAATCAGGTGAAATGTTTGGGTTTTTTGTCAGGTGAAAAAAGAATCCCTGGAACAAGTAACCACACAATTTGGGATGGAGCATTTCCCAAAGAGGGTGATTGAAAGCAAGATTTTTGTTTTTTGTTTTGTTGGTGTGCAGCTGGACATGTAATTTGCTGTTGGAAGAAAACTTGTTCCACTGGAAACTGATAGATGCTTAATTGTAGAAAAGAGAAAAATGGATAAGTTTTGCCCCTCTGTTTGTTAAAGGACAGACATTGTCATATAACACAATTTGTATAAGGGTTAGGAAGTGCTTGGTTTCCATTCTTAAATCAAACTGCTCAAACTGTATTGAAACAACGTCATCTTTTTGCCTGGAACCTCCTCTTCTTCGCCTTCATCAGTACTGAAAGTCCCCCAGGCCGTCTTGGATACAGAGTAAAACACGCAAGAAACAACCACTCAGATTTTGTGTTGGCCATTTTCGTGAAGGGAGGGTGTCTGAGGACATCTGTGAAGCTAAAAAATCTGCTCTTAAAAACTGTCTGAAAGCACAAAATAACACTAGAGAGCTGAGCTGCTTATGGGGAATTGTGACGCAGGCTGATAAATATGCAAGATGTTTCAACAGAGGCAGAAGCATTAAGTGTGTTTCTGAAACCAGCTGTGGTTTGGCTTTAGAGACCAGACCAAGAGGCTGCCTTTACAAAACTAAAGGGCACAGAGAAATACAGCATTGACATTTGATCCATTTAGTATTGCATACTTACGTTGTTAGCTTGAATACGGTCTTCTGATTGTTGTAAGGTACCTTGGGTCTTTTTAAAGGAGAAAAGTAGTCAAAAATATTTAAAATAATAATTGTTGTAAGATTGTCTGGTTTAGTAATCAGGAGGGGTGTGGCGGTAGAAGTGCTGTCACTGCTATCATTACTACCTTATAATCCTGCGTCTAGGAATTTTGTAGCAGTCTAATTTGCTGCAGCCACATTGTTTCTACAATATGTAAAAAAATCCATTTATTTTCTGAAAAGGAAAGTGTTGCACTAAAAAGTTTTTCAGTGTTTTCCACCTCCCCCATCTTCTCCCCACACCATATTCTGAATTTTCATCCTGTTAGATGCCTTTAAAAAATATCTCTGGACTCCACCCTAGTATGGCATTTCTATTTTATTTTAGTTTTTCAGTGTTTGGCAGCCATATGACATCATCTGGTCCTGTCATGAAGAATCTCATGCTTTGGGAGGCTGCTGACCTGGCAGCAGGGTCACCAGCTCAGCAGCATCTCATCATCTCCTGTAATTCTAAGGTCAAAACCTGAAACCCGCTCTGGGTCCTTGTATTGTCACAAGAGTTAAGGGAGTGAACTCACTTCTGGTCCAGCTGACTATGGAAATTGGTAGGAGAGGAATCTGGATAGACGAGCCATGATTTTAAAAAGTGAGAACCAGCTAAAATGTCATCTTAGATGTGTCTGGGGAGGTGTTGGAAGGAAGTGATTTTCAGCAGATGGGCAGTTGGCCAAATGCTACCATTCCTGCTATATCTCACTTCCTACTCTGCCTTATCTGCAACATGCAAGGTACAGATGGGGTTTTTCAACAACCTAGGTTGCAGATGGAACTTATGGAAAGAATACAACTAGTCTACAGGGTTCTTGTTCTTGTTGCTGCTGGTGCTGTCTTGCAAACCCCACATTGTCACTGTTAGGGGTTGTGCAGTCGAAAGGTTCCAGATTTGCAACATTAGTGCTCCACTTATTGCTTGCTCCAAATGGCATGATGGGTCCAAGTGCTTGTACCTACTGATTCACTGTCCTGGTTTCTTGGTGTGCCGACACAATGTGAGCGCAATGCACATGCAAATGCCTTCATGTTGAGCCGAGTAAGATTGGGTGAAGATGGGCAACTAGGATTTAAAGACACACACACACACAGAGAGAGAGAGAGACAGAGAGAGAGAGTCAAGCTGTCTCCTCCTGATGGGTCCGCTGGTGCAAACATATTTCTAATAAAACAATTGGAGAGGTCAAAAGCACCATGGAGTGCGAGGGAACGTGTCTCTCCACCCATCCCTC